CCTGGGGGCAGAGCTCCTAAAGTACTTAGAATTCCCTGAACAACAGGAGTGTCTTTTGTTAATAACGAATCCCCTTTGAACATCCCAGGTTTATGCTAATGAATGACTTTAGGTTCTGGCGCTAGGTGAGTGGCTAGTAGAGAGTGTCTGGATGGGGGCTGGCCATCAGGGGATCCAGATCCCTCATTAGAGGATTAGCATGTCCAGTCCTGGAGGTCAGGGAGGGTGGAAGGTCAGGAGATGTTCAGTCATTTGGTCAATGATTTAATCAGGTGCCTAGGTAGTGAGACCTGGATAACAACTCTGATGGATAAGATTTAAAGAGGCTTCCTTGTTACTAAACATACCAATGGACTAGGGGCATGGCACACCCAGCTCCACAGAGACAGAGATTTGGGCCCTCTGAATCTACCCTACTTCACCTGGCTCATCATTTGTGTCCTTTGTAACCCAGTAATCATAGGACAACTGACCACTGAACAGCACTGGTTTGAACTATGCTAGTATACTAGTACTTGTGTGCAGATTCTCCCCCACACCAGTAAATATAGTTCACCCTTTTCATCCCTGGGTTCAGCATATGCAGATCGGATCAATCAGGATGGAAAATGGTATTTTTGCAATCAAAACTGTAGCTTCTGACTTGCAGGTTTCCTGGGGATCAAAATTACTGGTTTCTGCCCTAGCTGGTTTGGCTCAGTGGATGGAGCTTGGCCTGTGCACTGAAAGTTCCCAGGTTTGATTCAGGTCAAGGGCACATGCCCAGGTTGTGGGCCAGATCCCCAGTAGGGGGTGTGCAGGAGGCAGCCAATCAGTGATTTCTCATTGCTGTTTCTATCTCCCTCTCCCTTCCTTTCTGAAATCAATAAAAATTTATTAAAAAATATATAAGGTCCCTAGCTGGTTTGGCTCAGTGGATAGAGCATACCTGTGGACTGAAGTGTCCCAGGTTCCATTCTGGTTAAGGGCACATGCCTAGGTTGCGGGCTCGGTCCCCTCTAGGGGGCGTGCAGGGGGCAGCCAAACTTTAAGTCTTTTATTCATTTTGAGTTTATTCTTCTGTATGGAGTCAGTAGGTGGTGCTACATGCCAGGTACAGAGCATAGATGTCATTTATCTACCTACCTGACTGTTATTTAGGACTGTTAGAGTGATCCAGGATGATAATGGTAAATTGTTGCTCAGATGGGACAGTGTGGGTCTAAGGACTGGCTTTCCTGCCGGGGCCCCTGTTTGTGGGAGGTGGGTGTCACCGCACAGCATAGGGACAGAGTGGTCATGTAGGGTGTTGGGGAGAGAATGGTTTCTCAGTGGCCAAGGCCTTTAAAGATGAGTGGACGTGAGATGAATTGGAGGCTGAAGAGTAATTCCAACAGGAGGAGATGAGGGTTGGTGCATATTCTCCAAACACTCACCAGGGTTTTTCTGTGACCCTAGGTGTGGCCTGGGTGTTGCAGTCAATCTGGGGGTTAGCTTAGAGGCTTGAGTGTTCATGTGTGAGACTCACTGGGCTTGGTGCAGAGGGCTATCGGTCTGGGACTTGAGTGACGGGTATATGGAGAGATTTTGGCTGTGTCTGCTGAAGGGACATCAAGTGCAGCAGCAGTGGAGGTGGGCTCTGGATATCTGAGGTCTGATTGTGTTTTTAAAAATTCTTTATTGTTGCAAGGCTTATAAATGTCTCCTTTTTCCCTATTGACCTCTCCTGCTCACTCTCACCCTCTAGCACAAGCCTCGCCCCCTATTATCTGTGCCCATTGGTTATGCTTATATGCATCTGTACAAGTACTTTGGTTGATCTCTTCCCCCTCCTCCACTTTCTCTCCCCTGTCTTACGTCTGAGGTTGACTGTTCAATGCTTCCATGTCTCTGGATTTGTTTTTGTTCACCTGTTTATGTTGTTCGTTATAGTCTACAAATAAGTGAGATCATGTAATATTTATCTTTCTCTGATTGGCTTATTTAGTTTAGGTCCATCGGTGCTTTTGCAAATGGTAAGAGCTCTTTTTTATAGCAGCGTAGTGTTCCATTGTGTAGATGTACCACAGTTTTTTAATCCACTCATCTACTGATGGGCACTTAGGCTGTTTCCAAATCTTAGCTATTGTATATTGTGCTGCTGTGAACATAGGGGTGCATATACAGACAGTCCTCCGGTTATGTCGAGTCTGACATATGTCGTTTTGTGGTTACGTTACCATCTCCCATTTATTTCTAAAACAAAAAGTTCCTTCATTTCCACATATGTACATGTGTCCATTATGTTTTTTATTATTTATTTACCACAAGTAATGGTCAGGAATTGTTATCTTTCTCTTTAAATTTTTGTTAATGTTTCACCTCATTAACTGCTGTGTATGTGCTCCATGTGAGTGATGTAGGTGGTTATGTAGGTGGGTTTCAACTTATGGCGAAAGTCTCGTTACATCGAGCCATAGGAACAGATCTCCGAAGTAACCCGAGGACCTACTGTATTCTTTCTCATTGATGCTTCTGATTTTTTGGGATATATTCCTAGAAGTGGGATTGCTGGGTCAAGTGGAATTTTCATTTTTAGTTCTTTGAGGAAAGTCCATATTGTTTTCCCCAGTGACTGTTTTCCCACCAGCAGTGCAGGAGGGTTCCTTTTTCTCAACATTCTCGCCAGCACTTGTTTGTTGATTTGTTGATGATAGCCATTCTGACGGGTGTGAGGTGGTCTGGAGTATTATGCTAAGTGAA